AGAGTGGCAGGGGGGCGTATAGAGGAGGGGCTACTAACGAGGATGGGCTGTCCTGGGTTGCCCGGGTGGTGGTGGCCCTGCTGCCGGCTTCCTTACAAGAGTGGGCGGTTGAGAGTCTAGGTGTGGGAAGTGGCGGCAGCAGGAAACGAGGCAGGCAGGGGACGTCTAGGAAAAAGAAGGGGTCGGAAGGAGCAGCAGCAGCCGAAGCAGCAGGAGCAGGAGGAGAAGGTGGGTCACGAGCAGAAGAGAGAGATGAGCTGGCCAATGGGGTTGTGACAGCTGGACGGGAGAGCACAGGGGAAGAGGTGGGCGAGGAGGCAGCAGGGGGTGAAGCTGGAACAGGGAGACTCAGCAGATTGCTAGGTAGTGTGGGCAAGCTGGGCAGTGGCAGCAGGCAGGGCAGTGCTGGCAAGGTGATCTCCAGGCGAGGCAGCAGGGACGCTGAAGGTCCAGGGGAGGGCATGGGGGGGAGCAGGGCTGAAGGCGACACAGCAAGTGAGGACGAGGGGGAGGAGGACGCGGAGGAGCGAGAAGAGGGGCGGTGGGTGGGCCGGATGTTTGTGAGCCGCCGGGTGATAGGCCACGGCAGCCACGGCACGCTGGTGCTGGAGGGAGGTTGGAGGGGCGGCAGGTGGCGGTGAAGCGGCTGCTGTCGCAGTTCTACGAGCGGGCAAGGCAGGAGATAGCGGCACTGATAGCGACTGACGAGCATCCCAACGTGGTGCGGTGCTTCGCCATGGAGGAAGATGAGTCATTTGTGTATGTCGCACTGGAAAGGTGCGCGTTCAACCTCACGGACCTGGTGCTGGCGTGCCGGGCTAACCTGGCTGCCGCTGCAGCAGCTGCAGCTGGTGCTGGTGCTGGTGGTGGTAGTGGAAGTGTTGCCAGTAGTGCAGATGCTGCTGGGCCTTTCACCTCCTCCTCCTCCTCCACCTCCTCAGCTTCCTCCAACAGCAAGCCCACCAGTCCCTTCCACTCCTCCACATCCACCACTGCCTCCTCTCTCTCCTCTTCCTCCTCCTCCTCCTCCTCCTCCTCCTCCTCCTCCACGCTCCCTTCCTCTGACCCCCCTCTGCAACTCAAAACCCCCTCGCTCTCGCTCCGCCTCTCGCCCTCCTCGTCAGCCGAGAGGGAAATCATATCAGCAGCGCTGGAGCGGGTGCAAGCCTACTGCTCCTCCCAGGGCGTGGGCCTGCAAGCGCTGTGTCTGTGGGACGACAAGGGCCAGCCGACCCAGCAGCTGGTGGGGCTATTGAGAGACATTGCTAGTGGGCTTGCTTATCTGCACGATCAGAGAATTGTGCACCGGGACTTGAAGCCGCACAACGTGCTCATCTCCCTGCTGCTGCCCAGCCGCCACAGTCAGCACAGCAGACACCGGCAACGCGGGCAGTCCCGCTCAAAGGCGCAAGCAGTGGTGAATGGGAATATGGTTGGGGTAACGCCGGGTGAGGACGTTGGGTCTCCTGCTGTGCCATCAACAGCAGGAGGAGATGCAGCAGCAGCAGGATCAGCAGCAGGATTAGCAGCAGCAGCAGGATCAGCAGCAGGATTAGCAGCAGCATTAGCAGCAGCGGCAGCAGACTCTGGAACTCCCACCGTCACAGCTGCAGCAGCAGTCACAGCATCAGCCGCCTCGGCCGCCACAGCAGCAGCTGCCATGGCTCGGGCCATACCTTTTCTGGAGGTTCGGATGCGAGGGAAACTCTCAGACATGGGGATAAGCAAGAGGCTGGGCGACGGGGCGAGCTCCTTTGACACGATGACAGCGGGGTCGGGCAGCAGCGGGTGGCAGGCGCCGGAACAGCTGGAGGATGGGTCCCGGCTGACCAAGTCGGTGGACATGTTTGCCTTCGGGTGCCTCATGTTCTTCTGTGTGAGCGGCGGCAGCCACCCATTTGGGGAGTGGTTTGAGCGCGACGCCAATGTGCTGGCAGGGAAGGGGGATCTTTTTCCCATCGACCACGTGCCGGAGGCTGTGGATCTCGTTGCAGCTCTGCTTGACAGGGACCCCGAGAAAAGGTAAGACAGCCTGAGCCAAAGCATCAACCTGTTTGGGAAGTGTCTTGTGTGTTTTGGGCGGCTTGCCAAACTGCTGGTCGTTGTTGGAAAGTGGAACGGCGTGAGGGCTGCACCATACAGCACTGTGCCTCCCTGCATCTTCCATCCACTCATCTTTCCCTCCCTCTTCCAAATCGCCCATCCGCCCTTCCCCCCTCCCTCCTCTCCAGGCCCCCAGCGCACCAGGTGCGGAGGCACCCCTTCTTCTGGCCAGCAGAGCAGCGACTGGCCTTCCTGCGAGATGCCAGTGACAGAGTAGAGGGCGAGGACAGGGAGCAGCACTCGCCGCTCCTGGACGCCCTAGAAGCAGCAGCGCCCCGGGCCATAGCGGGCAAGGGGGGGATCAGCAGGGCGCCCGGGGAGAGGGGAGGGGGGTGGAATGAGCGGGTGGATGGGGCGCTCCTGGGGAACCTGGGAAGTACAGGAGGTATAACTTCCATAGTGTGCGGGATCTGCTGCGTGTGATACGGAATAAGTGCAATCACTACCGGGAACTGCCGCCCGAGCTGCAGGTACGAAAGGGAGACTCAGTGTGCTGATTTCTGTATGCCTGATATATCTTAGGTTTTGCTGCAATGTGTTGTTTGTATCTTGGTGGTCTTGGTGCAATGTCTATAGAAATTCTCACTAACCAGTGTTCGCGTGTGTTCATGTCTGCAGGAGCGTTTGGGTTCACTCCCCGAGGCTTGAGAGATACTTCCGAGATCGGTTCCCTCATCTGTTGCTGGAGGTCTACCACGTGTTGCTGCAACACTGCGCCCACGACCCCATCTTCACAAAATACTTCGCCCCAGTGATTCCCCAATAAGCCATAAGATGTGGCGTTTATAACTAGAAAGATGAGCGCAACATGTGTGCAAGCTCGCTGGTAGGTCTTTGTAGTTTAGCGTATAACAGACAAAGCCTATGTTTTGTCTAATAAGCCTCTAATGTTTCATATCGGATAGTCCTCGTTCTGTATCTCGTGAATCGTGATGCCACGCGTCCATCTGTCTTGCCCACCCACACCTCCCCCTTCCCCCTCCCCACCTCCCCCTTCCTTCCCCCCGCGCTCCCCTTTCCGCCACTCCTTCAGCTCCCCCCCCGCGCGACCCAAATTCCAAATTCAATGACTGAATTCTGTTTTGAATCACAATCTGCTAGCTCCTCCTGAGGCTAGCTATTTCCGCCGCTAGCAGGTTCCTGAACTGCCATGGCAGCAGCTCTCGCCTCGCCTCTGACGTCCCGCATCGCTGTCTTTAGCCGAGCGCGCAGTCTATCCAACGGCGCCAGTGCATTCAACGGCGTGCGTCAAACGATCGTGTGAGGCGGGTAGTCCTGTTTCTCGTTGTCCGTACACGGTACTCCATTTCCGCCTTATGCTGCTGTTACATTGACTCACAGGCTCGTTACTCCCTAATAACTTGCAGAGGTAAATCCTTTTCTGCTCAGTGCGTCAACCGCGCCTCGCCTTCTCTCCCTGATTTTCGGCTGACCGCGAGGGCGACTCGATCGCGGGTGACCATGGCGTCAGCAGCATCGGACGGCGCAGCGGCGACGGCGAGCGGCGAGGAGGAGCTCGCGAAATTCGTGGCTCGCGACAACCGTCGCATGCTGCACGTCGTCTACCGCGTGGGGGACCTGGAAGCCGCTATTAAGTGAGTCGCACGTCGCTCATCATCGCATCATGACACGTCGCCTGTCGCACGCGGAAGCTGGATGTGCTCTATAGTACGTGAGGTGCCTTGGCGGGAGAGGAGGACTGCGAGATTCCGACCGAGCCATGACTGGAGATTCCGATTGTGGGGCAGGGATGATAGGTAGAAGGCGACAGGCGTTTTGTGTTAAAGAATCTTGCGCGTATGTCAGGCTGTCTCGGGTGTGCATGCTCGGCCGCGCACCGCTCGCCAACTGCCGTGAATGTTTGCTTGCTCTCACTGACCAGTACCCTTCGTGCTGTGCTCCCTGGGAGCAGGTTCTACAGAGAGTGTCTGGGCGTGAAGGTGCTGCGGAGGCGCGACTATGTTGGGTTGCCTCTGCTCTCACTGACCGGTTCCCTGCATGCTGTGCTGTGCTGTGCTGTGCTGTGCTGTGCTGTGCTGTGCTGTGCGGTGCTGTGCTGTGCTGTGCGGTGCTGTGCGGTGCCGTGCCATGCTGTGCTGTGCTGTGCGGTGCTGTGTTGTGCTGTGCTGTGCTGTGCTGTGCGGCGCTGTGCGGTGCTGTGCTGTGCTGTGCTGTGCTGTGCTGTGCTGTGCGGTGCTGTGCTGTGCTGTGCTGTGCTGTGCTGTGCTGTGCGGTGCTGTGCTTTGCTGTGCTGTGCTGTGCCTGGCGGCAGGTTCTACACGGAGTGTCTGGGCATGAAGGTGCTGCGGCAGCGCGACATTCCCGAGGAGAAGTACTCCAACGCCTTCCTCGGCTACGGCCCTGAGACCTCCTGCTTCGTTGTGGAGCTCACCTACAGTGAGTGACACAGGGGGCCTACGTGGACGAGACACAAGAATCCCATTTCTACTGTCTCAGATGTGTCTGAGCAGACGTGTGAGAACGCCTCCTTGGTTGAATGAGTCTTCTGAGAGCTCAGGCCAGAACTCAAAGACCCGTGTGTTGTGGTTTGGTTTGCCCCTCGCTGTTATTCCCCCCGGGCGGCAGACTATGGCGTGGACAAGTACGACATTGGAGCGGGCTTTGGCCACTTCGGCATCTCCGTTGACGATGTGAGGCATGGGCCTGGATGTTCTATTCCGCCTGTTTCTTTCCGCCTTCATTTTCAGTTTCTAGTGCATTCTTGGCCCACTCTTTCACACCCCTCTTTCATGGGTGCACAAGACGGTAGAGCTGGTGAAAGTGCGGGTCTCTCATGGTCTCTTATGGTCTCTTATGGTCTCTTATGGTCTCTTATGGTCTCTTATGGTCTCTTATGGTCTCTTATGGTCTCTCATGGTGTCTCTCCACCCAACCCAACCCCCTCCTCCTCCTCCTCCGTCTCCCTCCTGTGACTCCTCCCTGCCCCCCCAGGTGTACAAGACGGTAGAGCTGGTGAAATCGCGAGGAGGCAAGGTGACACGGAGGCAGGGCCAGTGAAGGGCGGCAAGAGCGTTATCGCGTTCGTGGAGGTGAGCAGGGGGGCGAAAGAGAGGCAGAGGATAGGCAAGGGTGGCTGTGGTCATGGCAGTCTGCTACCAGGGTGAAGACAGCAAGGGCGCGGAACGGCTTTCCATGCACATCATTATGACCATGTGTTGCAAGCGATTCTTGTGATGCATTTTCTGAACCCATTGTCAGCCCTCAAGTGGTACTTTTGACGCTCCTTTCATCTCCCCCCATTCACGTTCCCTTTTCCACTCGTCTCCTCCGCTTCTTCTGCCGTCCCCCACCCACAGGACCCTGCTGGGTACAAGTGGGAGATCATTCAACGGCCGCCCACTCCCGAGCCACTCTGCCAGGTGTGGCTCTACTGCCATATTTCAATGTGCTTGCAGGTTTGATTATGATGTGAAGTTGTAATGTGTGGCTTGTTTGCCGATTAGCAACCCCAATCACAAACAATGCCAGCAACAAATCCAGACGTTGCTCGATGGGTGTTTTTTTCGTTCTTCTTTTCATGCGACTGTGCTTCCAAGGTTCATGAGTCTACCTGCCTGATAGTGTGTATGATCGTGCCACGTGTACCATCATCGTGCCATGTGTATCATCATGGCACCATGCAGGTCATGCTGCGTGTGGGGGATCTTGACCGAGCAATCAAGTTCTATGAGAAGGTGTGTGCCAACACAGATGCATAATTCCCCACCATGAAAGCATACGCTGTATGCTGCCATGTAAGTATTGAACTCTACCCTTCAGTGCTTCGGCAGCTGCATCATCCTTCATTCATTGACCGCCACCCGCCACCTGCTTCTTGGTGAGAGAATATGCCCGCTTTCCCCTCACCCACTCTCTCCTCGTGCTTGGCCTTCACCATCCGTGCGTGCAGGCGTATGGCATGAAGCTGCTGAGGACACGAGACAACCCGCACTACAAGGTACGCATGCTCGTCTCACCCTGCCGTTGCAACCGCCTCCGTTTGTTCCTTTAGAAAGCTCTCGTGAGCGTTCTCTGAGAGCTGCTCCTTCCCTTCCCCCCGCTGCGCCTTTCATGAGTGACCGACTGACCTACCCCCCAACCCCCCCACCCCCACCCCCACCCCCCCCCGCCCCACCCATCCTGTTGCTGCGTCAACCCGTCGCCGTCCTGTGTTTCCCCCATTACGTGATAGCCACGGTGGGTGGGTACAGGCCAGAGGTGGAGAGTGCAGTGGTGGTTCTGACCACCTGGCCCCCCCCCCCCCCACCCCCACCGCAAACTCACTCTCCCCCTCGTTGTTTGTGTATCTACCCTTCCCCCCCATCCCTCTGCCCCCAGTGCACCATAGCCATGGTGGCGTACGGGCCTGAGGAGAGTTCACTGGTGGAGCCAACCGCCCGCCACCCCCCCCTCCCCTCCCCCCCTCAGCCCACCTGCCCCCACCCTCAACCCCACCGCAAACGTTCCTCCTCTTGTTGATGATTCCCCTTTTTCCCTTTGCCTCCCTCTCTCCCCCGTACACCATAGCCATGGTGGGGTACGGGCCAGAGGAGGAGTGTGCGGTGCGGTGGTGATTTTGAGGTTCTCCCCCCCCCCCCTTCCTCCCCTCCTCCCCAACCCAACCAACCCCCCCTTGTTGATGTATCCCCCCTTCCCCGGCCTCCTTCTCTTCCGCAGTACACAATAGCCATGGTGGGGTACGGGCCGGAGGAGGAGAGCGCGGTGGTTGAGCTGACCTACAACTATGGGGTCGAGTCATATGAGAAGGGCAACGCCTACGCCCAGGTACTACCTGCCCTCTCAACTCTTCATGTGCTTTCTCAGGTACTGCTGGTTCTCCCTGCTTTTGTCCCTTGTTGAGCTCTGCGGACTGGCCGACCAAATGAGTTATTTCTGGCCATGTGCTTCCCCCACTACTACCTATCTCCCTCATCGGCCTCCTCGTCTTTGCACCACCCCTCTCTCTATAGTACCCTCCCCTTTCCCTATTCACCACTGTCAACCGCCATTACTTTCCCTTCTATTTCAGATTGCGATAGGGACAGACGATGTGTACAAGACAGCAGAGGCCATTCGAGCGGCTGGCGGCAAGATCACTCGAGAGCCAGGGCCGATCCCCGGCATCAACACCAAGATCGTGGCGTGCCTCGACCCCGATGGCTACAAATCAGTGAGGATGGGTGATTTTTTAGCATGTGTTGTGAACTATTTGTGTAATACGCATTTTGTGACGATTTTGTGCCCATATTCTTCTCATTGCAGGTCTTTGTTGACAACCAGGATTTCCTTCGTGAGCTGGAGTGAACGAAGCAGTTTTAGCATTGCTTCTCTAGGCAACAAAGCACATTAAATACAGGCTCTTTCTAACGTGTGATGCATAGAATGTACCTGTGATAGCTGCTTGCAAGGCTATGCGCGTACAGCCGTTATTTCACTTAACGAGAATCGCACCTAGTCTTCAGCTACTTCGCGAGACTTCGCCAGCAGGAACAGTTCCCAACGATCTGGTAATCCTTCGCTGTTTTAAAGGTCACAATGTGCCCAACTCCGCAATTTTTTTTGCGATAATACCTGCCAATCCCGTGCCAGCTGGAATTCGGCAATTCTTGACGGAGCGGCTCCTAACGCTCACCATGCCTCGTCTCGCGCCACGTCACCAATGCCTGACGAGACCAAATCACCAACGACCGCGGAGACTAGCATAATGTCTTGCTTTCGTTGGCCCGGCTTGACGACGGATTCGGATTCGAGTTATACTAGGGCACCCGGGCGCCGCTTTCGCGACGACATGGCGGCAGCATGGCTGGCGCGACCAAGGCGTCAAGATGGGGGCCACACGGCAGAGACCGAGCCTGATTCCGAACGCCGTACTAGTTCTAGGAATCGGGAATGGCGGAGGAAGGAGGACGACGCGGAAGAGACGCGGGAGGTGGCGAGGGCGGAGCAGCGGGCGTCGGCGAGGGCGGAGCAGCAAGTGGCGGCGAGGGCCATTCGCGTGACCCCGAGTCGGACCCGGAGGCGTGCGAGCGGCCGTTCGAGCAGCCGCAGTCGTGGCGGCACCGGTGGCGCGGCAAGGGCGAGTGGAACTCGGGGCTGAAGGACTTCCTCCGGGATCCCCGCGCCGCCGTGCTCGGGTGCTGCCTGCCGTGCTACCTCTTCGCGCAGACGGCAAGGAAGATCACCGACGGCCGCTTGCAGTTCTCGAGGTAATTCCGAGTCGCGTCGTCCTTCAAGCAACTCGTTCAGGTGGCGCTGAATCGTTGTGGCAGAACCGCTTTGAGTCAAGACTAAAAAACAGTCGTCCAGAGAGAACCCATTTCTTTACATGCTGCTCCGGAACAGCAGCTCTATTGCTCAAAGAACCAGATTTTCGGCACCTCCACCACCCCTCCCTTTACCTCCGCCCTTTCTTAGGGGCATGCGCCTCTTATGCCTCGTGGGAGGGTGCTAGGGCACACCCCTGTCTCTAATCGTGGGCCCCATTGCCTCCTGGCTGACGTGCGCGACATGCTACGTGCCCCTCCTTTGCTCCTCCTTTATCTCCCCTTTTCACGGCCTTTCCAATCTACTGCCTTGTGGTGGCTGCTGGGGTGCACCCCCTCTTTGGTCCTTGACCCCTTTGCCTACTGGCTGACGTGTGTGCCGTGCTACGCGTCCTCCCCTTTCCCATTCCCTTGCTCCCCTCCCAGGGCGTTCGCCACCTACTGCCTTGTAGGAGGGTGCTGGGGCGCACCCCTTTCCTTGATTCTAGGCCCCTTGGCCTACTGGCTGACGTGTGTCCCGTGCTACGCGTCCACCATGCGACGACAGCTGCGCCACAAGAAGGGGCTCCGGGAACGACCCATGGACGACTTTGCCGCCCATTGCTGCTGCCACCCGTGCGCGCTTTGTCAGGTAGCACTGCTGCTTTGTGTCTGGGAAGGCAATGAGCCTATGGACGTATTTAAGTGGCATGGTATGTGGTGTTGGAGTGCATTGCTTAAGCGGTATGGTATGTGGTGTTGGAGTGCATTGGCATGTCAGGCCGTTACCCATGTCATGCCATGTGTGGTGCACCTGTAATGTCTGCCCATGTGGTTCTTCGTACCCACACCCAGTTGGATGTCGCCTACCTGTTGTACGGTATGCCCAGCTGCTTTTTTGGCGCCTCAAATATCGTCTGTCTTGCTGTGTGCATATCAACTACGGTACGTCATGAGCCGTGCCGTTTGTGTGTCCAGATGCGCAGTATCTCCCTCTTGCCCTCTCACCACCGTGTGTGGAGTGGATGCAGGAGTACCGGGAGAGCCGCGAGTTTGACTTGGAGCTGGTGGCGGGGCCAACGCACCCCACAGTGGACAGACTACCGGAGGAAACAGCCAGGCACCTGGCGCACCTGCAGCAGACGCAGCAGATGGAGAGGTGACTCTAGGGAGAGGCTGTTTTAGATGTACTTCGAGATTTTTAGGAGTTGGGCAAACAGAGCAGATTAGAGAGCATGTGCTGCACACTTGGCTAGCAGTCAGTCGGTTCTTTCTGCTGCAAGCAGAGTGGGCCTTCGTATGGCTGGGTTTGGTTGGTTTGAATGGTGATGTTTCACTGCACGCTGCTGTTTGTCGGCGGCCCTCTTCTTCGTTGCCCATCAGTTTTCAATCCGATCTTCGTAGGCGAATGCAGTGTTGCAACTACGGGTACAAGAATAATTCTAACTAATGTCAACTTTTTGAGACAGCGAATGCTTCTACATCTCCTCAATGAGCTGCTTTATAGAGGGAATGGGTAGCAGCCCCTCTGTCCGCACGGCAAGCTTTGACTTATCCTTGCTGACGAACACCACTGTGGGCAGCCCACGAATCTGATGAGTGGTGGGATGTGGGCGGCATAGAAGGAGTGTGTGCATAACAAGGGCGCTTGCGAGGAGTGAGGGTGTGTGCGAGTGCATGAGTGTGCAAGGTTAAGGAGCGAGTGTGAAAACGGGAGGGAAGTCATAGAAGAGTAGACATGACATGCTGAAATATAGGGACAAGGCACATGCATGTGTGTGTGCGGACGTGTGTGTGCACGTGTGCAGATGGATGCATATGTAGGCATGTGTGCATGAGTGCACGAGTGCATGAGTGCATGTATGCATGGGTGCAAGAGAGCATGAGTGCATGGGTGCATGTGTGAGGGGGCCAAGGCACCTCGAGCTGGTTGGCGAGCTCGTACTCCTCGTCCGTGTCCACCTTGAGGAACAGCACCTCGCCATGGTACTCCACCGCCAGCTGCACGCGCCAGGCCACGGGGGTCGGTGAGGGCAATTGGGGGAATGGGGGTAAAAAGGGGCATCAGAGGCATGAGAGGCATGAGAGGCATGAGAGGCATGAGAGGCATGAGAGGCATGGGAAACAGCACGTTGCCATGGCACTCCACCACCAGCTGCACAGGACGGCTTGGGGCAATGGGGGCAATGGGGGGAATGGGGGGAACGGGGGTAATGGGGGCAATGGGGGCAATGGGGGCAACGGGGGGAATGGGGGGAATGGGGGGAACGGGGGTAATGGGGGGAATGGGAATGGGGGGAATGGGGGGAATGGGGGGAATGGGGGGAATGGGGGGAATGGGGGGAATGGGGGGAATGGGGGAATGGGGGGAATGGGGGCAATGGGGGGAATGGGGGGAATGGGGGCAATGGGGGGAATGGGGGGAATGGGGGCAATAAGGGAATGGGGGCAATGGGGGCAATGGGGGGAATGGGGGTATTAAGGGGCATGAGAGACATGAGGAACAGCACCTCGCCACGGGTAGGAGGGATGAGGAAACGAAGGGAGCAGTGAGGGATGAAGATGATCCGCACATGCATGCGCCACACGACGAGGCGTGGCAATCAGGCGTCCGCGGTTACAGTCACCTGACGGCACCTGACGGCACCTGACAGCACCTGACGGCACCTGACGGCACCTGACAGCATCTGGCCTTTCAACTGCTCCAATTCTTGCGCCAGCAGGATGCACGGGCCGCACCACGTGGCGTAGAAGTCGATCACCATGGGCAGCGGCCATCCCACCAGCCCAATCCCCCGACAGCATGTAACAGGCACAACTCGACCTCCCACCACCCAACCACAATTGGGCCTCTCACCTGCTCCAGCTCCTGCGCGAGCAGGATGCACGGGCCGCACCACGTGGCGTAGAAGTCGATCACCATGGGCAGCGGCCGATCCCCCGACAACAGCTCGTCCAGCTCCTTCCCGCTCACCTTGCGCTGCCCGTAGGGGTCGGGGGGCGGGGAACGGGGGACGGGGGACGGGGCGCGGGGGAGGGGGGGGGGGGGGGGGGTGAGGCGGGGGGAGCGAGGAGCCAAAACTACCCCGACAGCAGCGCGTCCAGCTCCTTCCCGCTCACCTTGCGCTGACGAGAGCAAAGGTGGGGACGCGCGGTTAGAGACGAAGGGACTTGCCGAGCGGACAGGAGGAACTTGAGATTTGTTGTTGAGACGTCTTAAAAAAAAGGATGAAAAATGAGAATTGACACGAGCGGGGGATGTGCGCGTCGAGTGGGGAATGCGCGTGTCGAGCGGGGGATGCGCGTGTTAAAAGGGGAGCACTCAGCGCGCACCACGAGGTTGCATTGGACGGAGAACGCTGATTGGCTGCTCGCCGCTGCTCTCGTCGACTTGCCCCTGAAGCTGTCCGATCGCAGCCCCCGAATGCCGCGTGTGCGAAGCGGATGCGACAGTGTTGCCGTCGCATGCCGTCGCACGCAATGTGACGCGGGAGACACAGTCGCAGCGGCACGTGATGACGCGAGGCCGCCAATTGAGGGAGCTACGACGACCGCGGACGCCATCTCTCAATCAACACTGGATCTAGGGGTAAGACGCGATAGGCGCCTGGGAGAAGCGGCACAGGAGAGAAGCAGAGGGAAGCAGGCGGGATGACGGAGGAATGGAGTTGAGTGAGACTCGGTGCTCAGCAGACTCCAAGGCGGACAGCCCTCGTGCTGTTTGAGTGAAGGCGCTTTTTGGTCAGCTCTACTCAAAAGCGCGCGGCGGAACGTGAGAGCCGCGGGAGCTTACGCGGAAGGGATGGCGGAAAAGGGGAACTGAGTGGGCGGGCCGGGCGCACAAGAACAAGCTGATTGGCTCGTGGAGATATTTGTAGGCGCCACGTAAAGAGTGCGGGAAACAAGGAGATCCCTGGGGAGGATTGCTCAACTTTCCGACACATCGGAGATCAATTCTTCTGTACAGCTGCACTGCTTGTTACGCATCGCATATTCTTGGTACAGAGTACGCTAAGACAAATGAATGTGAGAAAGCTGCATATGGGCTTAACTACTTGATTTCACCTAAGCATCATTCTCAACGTCCTATAAGGTTCAAGAAACACGTTGCACTGTACCACTGCTCAAGTTGCATAGATTCATGTGGTTATAGATAGCCTTTGTCAATGAGGTGCCTTTCAATTGCTTGTTGAGCCAACTCCCTAAATTTGTCATCCCCAGGACACTCCCTGCATTGAATGGTCAAACGAGTTTGCATGGATAGGGAGAGGAGAGAGTGAAAACAAGC